GATCCAGCTGGTTTCCCAAGATGTATGCCTCCCCAACTAAAGATGGTTGTGGCGGCAGCTCAGGTAACTCAAGATGGCGGTGAAGGTGTCCCAAGATGAAGGCTACCACTTTCATAAATGAGGCTGAAAAGGCAGGCAGTTCGATAGTGTTGGGCAGCCTGTTCAGGATTGTAGCACTATGGCCTGTGGTGCTGTGGAAGGCAGCTGTCTCCAGACCCTATCCAGTGTCCCAAGGTGGAAGTGGGCCAGGGGAGCCACTCCTTGGTAGATAGGGAACCACTGCATAGTTCCCTATGGGCGTGGACATTCCCTTGCAGAGGTGCAGCTCTGCAGGGCAGTCTTGGACCCTTAGTGTAGTTTAAATTTGCATTTCTATGATTGCCACAGATGTTGAACTTTTGTATATTTGGTGGCCATTAGTGTTTCTCCTCTTGAGAAGTTTCTGATTACTACTTTTACCCACTTATTGATTGGGTTATTTGTTTTTCTGATTTTTTTTTTTAGTTTTGTATATTCTGAAAATTAATCCCCTATCAGAGATGTAGTTGGCCAAGATTTTCTCCCATTTTATAAGGTCTCTCTTCATGCTCTTAATTGTTTCCTTTGCTGTGCACAAGTTTTTTAGCCCAATGTCATCCCATTTATTGATTCTTGGTTTTATTTCTTGTTCTTTGGGGGTGCTGCATTTGTTTTAAACCAAGAAACCTAAAAGGAATTAAGTACTTATTTGATGATTAATTATCATTGCATTTTCAGACTTAATCATCAGATTTTATGACATTTTTGTCATTTGTTATGTTTATAGTACTCTTGTATTGTAGCCCTCATTTTCCTCATTTTTTGTTGTTTTTTTCCTCCTTTTTGTAAAAGAGAATGACCTTCACTTTTTTATTAGAGATTTTAGCTATCTTTACTTAATGATTCTCATCTAGATTTGGTCATAATCATTGTGTACATACTACCACTTGTTTAATTTTTTTGTTTGCACTTATTTCTTACTTGGGATAAAACAACATTTTGCTTCATCATAAATTATTTATATCTCCAGGAAAATTTTGATTCAAATATTTTTTTTCTTAGGTGAATCAGTATTTTGTTATTCTTACTAAAGTTTATTCAGATATGTTATTTCCAAGTATTTCTTATTTATGAATTCCTTGAATTTATGGTCATTATTTGAACATTATTATATTGAATGAAGAGAATTGCTATTACAGAGATTAGTAATTCAAGTTTACTGAAGGAATGTTAAAAATCCTTTGATATTTTTACTTGGATGTAGAATTTTATAGGTGTAAAACTTGTAATATAAATTTAAGTTT